GAGGACGAGTGACGACGAGTGGCGGGTTTACTGTCGATAACGAGCCATCGAGGAGAAGACGAGTTCTCCATTCAGAACGGCCGGACGCCGTTCGAAAAATCTCAACCGACAAATGACAGATGGTCACGGCTCTCCACGATGGAGAGGATAGGAATCTATCGCGGGGAAAGGGACTCGTAAGATGTGAGAGGTGTCCGGAGCACAATAAACAATCCGCAGGCATTATTCGTTTCTCTCTTTCTCTCTTTCTCTGACTGTAAAAATATATATAGGTCGATGCTATATAACGTCAGGACGAGATGACGACTCAGGAAGTCTAGCTCTTTCTATTAAATGTTACGTTTATTTATTTTATCAACACGTTGTTTATTTGCGTACGCTTTCATAATGCACGTGTGTGTCAGTTATAATAATGCTGCATTAGATATGGAAATAGCATTTTCGCTTTACAGTGTACATTTATCGATATTTTTTGATAGCAGTTTTTAGCATCCGCATAATAGAAGTTTATATTGTAATATATAACGTACGAACGAAAAAAGTTAAAATTTACACACCATTTCTTACTATCTGCGTAAGAATTTTGCGATAAGTGAGTTAAAAATAGCGAACGTTGTTGGCAGAGAATTAATTAAATAATTAGATAAAAAATCAGAGAGATTGGTCACATGATTAAATTCATTCATTGTTTGTCATTGATTGCATTGTTTTAGTTTATCACTTTTATTTATACGCGAAATTTTTTTGTCAGTTATATTTTTTATTAAAATAATTAAAAAACTAATGTCGTCATAAAAAGTCTAACAATATTTATACTATATAATATTGATATAATCTTTTGACTGTAAGTAGTCCAGATAATATTAGTTCGATGTTGAGATTTTAAAATACGACACGTCGAAAATTTCAAAACATATCGGTTTCAAACGTACTTTGTTAAAAAAGTCTATAGGACTTATGTAATATTCAATTAAATTGAACAAAAAGATGCTTATAGTGAACATAAAGCAAAAAAGTAAATCTTGTTAGAGAAAAGAACTATTTTTAGTTACAGTAAAATAAATAATTTTGTTCGCTTCACGCGATATGAATAGACAGAATTATCTTATTCATTTTGACTGCGTTATAAAAGGCGTTTTGTGTACCTTTCTTTTCTATCATGTCTGTTGAACGCTTTGAATAAAAATAATTTGTGAAAATTTGCAATTTTTGAGGATATATGAAATTATCCAATTAAGTTCACAATTAAAAAAAAATATTTTGTGTCTGCAACAGAAAGTCGAGTAGCACATTGTTACGTATTACTATGAATTATCGAAACGACAGCAATTATATTTAAATAAAAGATGTAGAACATGGAATTAAGAAAAGAGAGTGAGTTAAAATCCTCCTGAGGTAAAATTAAATTAGAAACAAAATTTCGCGTTGTCGCGTATTTATCTACAATCCTCTAATTTTACCTCAGGTAAAATCGCGCGCAAAGTATATATAGCGATGTAACAAGAAATGCTTCTTCGAACATATTTTTAAAATGATTAATTATTTTCTCTCAAATAAAAATTTTTTTTTTTTTTTTTTTTATTACTTTTTTTTTTTTTTAAGCCATTTTATTTGATGGGAAAAGAGAAATATATATATATACGAATATATATTTACAATATGTTTAAAGGAAAAATATTTTGTCGATGTGTATATTTGAGAAAATTCCTTTATAAGAAATTTTTTCTTTTTTATGATTAACGACAGTAAGATATCGGGATATATTTAGGCTTATGTATTATTTTTATTACAATATACAACATATTTTAATAATCAAAGAATCGTGATATGATAAAGACGAATCGTAGTGTTAAAAATAGCATTTACATCTCTTTTCTCTCTGTCTCTCTCTCTTTTATATTTTTAAATAGATTCTAATGTTTTTTAATACATTCTTATATTTTGAATCTTATGCTTCACGTATTCATCGAATCGCATTTTCTAATTATAAAAAAAAAATCATGCGAAATATCAATCAAATCTATAATTTGTGTGTAGCTTAGAAGTAATAAAATTATTCTTCTATCAAATTTTAATTAGCGCTATTAATTCTTCGGATGTTGAGATATACACCGCCATTTAATGGTGCCGTAAAAGTACCTTTTGGATTAAATACCATTGGTATCAAAGTTTTTTCGTTCGGTGTCAATTCGTATTTGTTCAAAATTTTTATAAGTCCAAGCTTCGTCTGCAATAATGCTAAACGAGTACCTATGGGATGCGTAATGATAACAAAAATTCTTAAGAAAAATTTTTGTGTGTGATAATATTGCAATTTTGCAATGTTTTATAATTAAAACATACAATTGAAACATAATACATTTACAAGAATGTAAATGTTATATATATATATATATATATATATATATATATATATCACACATTATATATACATATATCAAATATGTCTACAATAGTCGGATAAATCGAGATCTTCAAATACATAAACTTAATGTAAGATTCAATCATGAATATGGTAAATATTTTAAGGAAAAGAATATAACTTGACGATTATATTGATATTATTTGTATCTTGTTCGTTATAATAATTCTTTATTAGCAAGCAATAACATATGTATCGCGTTTTCACTTACCATGTCATATGTGATCTTGTTATCGCTTTCGTTGAGCGCATTATGAATTTCCTTCCTAAGTTTATCCTGAATCTCTGGCTGTATTGCGAGTTCGTACAAAGCAAAAGCCATTGTCGTCGCAGAACTTTCATAACCAGCGATGAAAAAGATGACTGCTTGCGCTACTAGATCGTCATCATTAAATTCTAAAATTTAATTCATCTTTTAAACCTTTGAACTATTGTCAACTTTCTTTCTTTCTCTCTCTCTTTTCTTATTAAATTAATATTTTTTTTTATTAAATATAATTAAAAAGTTTATAAATATTAAGATAATTTATATAACATAATTGAGAAAAATACGAATGTCTTGTATATGAAATATATATTTTGTATTTTATTATATCTCTTTCATTTTTATATGCGAAATGAACAGAGAAATTGATTTACTTATCGCAATTTTTGTCGTAAAATTCTTTACGTCTCAACATTATATATAATATTTGATAAATATTTCTGAACACATACCGTCCACCTTCAAGGATTCTAAATACGTGTCTAGATTCGTAGCGCATTCAATCTGCAATTCAAATATTTTCTTTAGTTTGCCGGATGTAAAGATCGGCGTCAACTTTGTTCGTAACATCTTCGAGGCTGGACTTTTCAGGAAGAAGAGATTAGCATAACCTATACGATCATTCGGATCAGGCGAGCCATATCGATCGACAAAATAATTAAAGTCCTTTACTAAAACATTCTTGACGATTTTCCGATCGCGAACCAACAAGAATGGCTTGTCTAAAACGTAGAAACCGATGTAAGGTAGTCCCTTTGCTTGATCGTAAAGTTCTTTTATGAAAGAGCCAGGAGATTTCTTTAAAAGCGCACAATCCATGAAATTGCCCCAGAATGGCGTTGGCCGTATTTCCACAACATTCCGTTTCTTCCAATAATTGAATTTGCGAGTCATGTAAAGATAGGCGGCTATGATGAGAGCCGTTAGAGCTATCATGCTATCCAGACCCCAGTAAGCCGTAATGAATGCCATTTTAAAATATGTGTTTATAAAAAAATATTCTCTTTATCTGTAAAATAAAAGATAAAAGATTAGATTCATCGACTTGCAGCGTAAACAAATTTTTAATAATGTTATACTAGTGATAATATCTCTCTTTTATTGGTATTATTACATACCATTACTTATTTTAAAACATGAATTTAAAAGATGATTGAATTATATGTAAATGCGATAAAAATTTACATCCTCTTGATTGAACAAGATACTAAAACCGACATCTATTTTTCCTAAACTACAACATGTTTTTATTTCTTTATCAAAGAGAGACCTATTTACCTTCTTATCAGAAGGAACATTATTTTCTTTGTTAATTGCAAATTATTATAAGCAGAAGCGCATAATTTATGCATTCGATGCTCATTTTAACACATTAAATCCGTTATATCGCGATTTCTTGAAAGATTTTTTTATGATCTTTTTTTTCTCGGCGAATTAATTAATTAAATGACGATAATTATCCGACGAGCATCTTTTTGATAATATTATGTTGTTCTATATGCTTTTGTAAATTTCTAAATTTATTCTATCTTTATTTTTATCTCCTCTATCATAATGTTTATAACATTTCTAGTAGTTTTCAATGATTATGTCAATTTATGAAAGAAAGTATTTATTAAACATCAATTTTTGATTCTTTTCAAAACTTTTACAAAACCTTTTTCAAAAATTTGAAACAATATTATTGAAAAAAAGGTATAATAAAGACAGTCTATATTAGTAGCGGTCTATAATCTATACATCTATAGCAATAAATATATATAAATAGGAATTTTTATTTAGAACTTTCAGTTAAAATCGAAAAACTAAAATATACACGTATATCAGTTTTATATAGTACCTTTTCTGTACGGCACCAAAGTAAAACACCATCCAATTTGCTTTTAACAACGTAGAACAGAATGTTTTCAAACAGCGACGTTATCGTGTGAATCGTTGTGATTTTCACTCATTGCAGTGATAGACTAAACTAGGCCTGTGGCCGGTTTGTACTTTTCGGCCGATCTTGGTTGCTGCCATCCCCACTCCTTTTATTTAATAATATCTAGGTTACTCGCGGAGACGTAATTACTTGCGGAGACGTAAGACACTCGAACTCAGGGATGGTATTAGCTGTAAATCATATGGAGTTTTAGCATGTATAGTTCGGCGCGCTGTTTACTGTTTACAGAGTTATTATATAAATTTTATATACATATATATATATATATATATATATATATATATATATATATATATATATATATATATATATATATATATATATATATATATATATATATATATATATATATATATATATATATATATATATATATATATATATATATATATATATATATATATATATATATATATATATATATATATATATATATATATATATATATATATATATATATATATATATATATATATATATATATATATATATATATATATATATATATATATATATATATATATATATATATATATATATATATATATATATATATATATATATATATATATATATATATATATATATATATATATATATATATATATATATATATATATATATATATATATATATATATATATATATATATATATATATATATATATATATATATATATATATATATATATATATATATATATATATATATATATATATATATATATATATATATATATATATATATATATATATATATATATATATATATATATATATATATATATATATATATATATATATATATATATATATATATATATATATATATATATATATATATATATATATATATATATATATATATATATATATATATATATATATATATATATATATATATATATATATATATATATATATATATATATATATATATATATATATATATATATATATATATATATATATATATGTATATAAAATTTATATAATAACTCTGTAAACAGTAAACAGCGCGCCGAACTATCCATGCTAAAACTCCATATGATTTACAGCTAATACCATCCCTGAGTTGGAGCGTCTTACGTCTCCGCAAGCAGCTTACAATTAGATACTATTAAACAAAAGGAGTGGGGATGGCAGCAGCCAAGATCGGCCGAAAAGTGCAAACCGGCCGCAGGCCTGAATTAAATAAATAATGCAGAATAATTATCGAGATAATGATGATTAGCAACAAGAATGCGCGTTTGTAAATTAATATTAAATACGAGGTTGCTTCAAGCGATTCAGAAATGTCTGTTTCGATAATTCCCTATCTTCCGTTCTTCTAATATCATTTGTTCAAGTGATCTGTGAAAACAGTTTACAGGTGTCGCGAGAACGGTATTCGAAAAGGAGGTATGTGCGAAGTAATAGTTTGTACCGGATCGTTTTGGTTGTTATAAAATTCCAATTACCATTAACAATAAGATAGAGAGTTATCACGCGAGTTTTTGTCTTACCGATAAAACATTCGTGCAAGAATTCCTATAATATCGAATTTAATAAAAATGAATAAATATTTAATAAAAATGAATAATATCTTTGTTTTTTATTGAATCGATATCGAATATTATTATTAATTAATCATAAAACGATTCAAACGTACTTAGGTAGCAAATGCACGTCATTTAACGTCAAAATCAAGTTATTTGACGTCAAAATCATAGCGCTTGCTAGCTGGGTACGATCGGTATAATAAAAAAGAACATTTTAAAACAGCGGATTATTATTCTCTCGACCAAAAAAAATACAAATAATGTTTGCAATTATTAATACCATTTAATTTATTGCATCAAATGTCAAGGCAAAATGTATAATATAAGAAAAGTTCTCTATCATTCAAAGACTATCACCCAACTGATTCTTTGTGAAAATAATTGTTGACAAAAATTTGTGATAATAAGAGCAATGGAATTCATATAAAATTAAAAAAAAAAGATTTATATATGAAATATTAAATAGTTTCTGTTGCATGATATAATGAGCCATGAATTTCATACATCCTATGAAAATGCAAATGACGAGGAGCGGGAGGAGGAGGGAGGATCTATCGCGCGGATAAGGTTTTTTTATGACAATAATGTCCTAGCAGATATCACTGTCCGTAAACATTAAACATCGAAAATGCGAGAACATTACTGTTAACGAGTCAACAAATGACTTTCAAACAAAGTTTTTATTTACGTCCGTTCGAAAAGTTCTTCTCAAGAGCAACTAATCGCAACAACTTTCAGTGTTTGTTTTTTAATTGTCGATAGGTTTGATTGATCATTTACTAAGTACATCATTTACTAAGTAGATTAAGCTTGACATTCCCTTACTTCGATGATTATATGACAAAGCTAAACAATTTTTTTTTTATATGAAAGAAAAATAGTTATATTTTTATTGCGTTATCAAAATTTATTTCAACCGAATAAAAAAAAAAGTTTTAGTTTGTTTTCTTAGAAAAGTTTAACAATAAATAAATATATTTATAAACTAATACTAGACTAAATTATTTTATCTTGATTTATCAAAATTTATCAAAATTTTATTCTTTAATAATTAGAATATAAATATGAATTCGAAATATAATTTAATTTATTATATTATAAATCTTCAATTTCAAAAATATTATTTCCGGCACATATCAATTAGGAAAAACAAATTAATTATTAAATAAAGTATTTGTGTTTTTATTATAAAATTAACTCTGATTTTTTCCTCTCTCTTCAATTAGATTCTAATCTTACTCTAATTTTTTATATTTCGATAAATACAGATTTATACAATTTCTTATGACGACGAATTTGATCTGTTTACAACGAATCACGTGGGAAATACGGTTTAATCAAAGATCTTGTTCGTGTATGCTGTATCGAAACGTACGATTGATGGTTCCATGGTTTTGAGCATATTTGTTAGACATTGCGTTGGCACGTCTGCCTACCAACTACGAAGCTGCTGACATGGTATCGTTGGGAGCGTGTCGGTATGACGACCCAGACGAGACGTCGATGGAATATAAAGTGTCGTCCTTCTTTGCGAGTGCAGCCAGATAATCTACCGCAGATTATAATTCGCTACGCGTCGAGCACGTTTTTAAGTTCATTCACGTCAAGTTTAATCGGAATGTGTGTGTGTGTGTGTGTTTGACTGTGGCTTTGCAAATTATTAATTTTGAATTTTGTTATTTACGATATTTTTATTTTGATACTTTTGATTATTACTTTTGTGTATTGTGGGATGGCCACTTTTTCATGAGACATCCTATATATATATATATATATATATATATAATATAATTAAAAACCATGTACCCTATTTTTTTGAAAATTGGTATAGTCTTTACGGATTACATCATCTAATGATTATATATATATATTATTTCGTGCATTTTATTTCTTTAACTTGAAAACTTTTTAACTTGGTTCTGACGAGTATAAAATGAGTTATAAAAACAGCTGTAAAATCGATAAAACTTAAACCATCGCTAAAACATGAATTATTTTTCCCTTATCATTATCTCGTCGCAATGAAATAACCCGCATAATTAACTATATACTATTAACTTATATCTGATTAAAAGCCATGTTGGATCGAAGAAGTCGTTCAGCCGGCCGACTTGGCCAAGATGCAATCAGACGGATGCAGAAGAGCCATAAGCGGTGAATGCAATGCGAGACGCGGAGAAACAGAGAAGAAAGAGAGAAGTAAACAGAAATATCAGGAGAAATGGGAGGGGGCATATTTTTATCTACGTATCTATAATTTCCTGTTTTTCCATCGTGATATAATGTTATACAATTTTCCACTTTCAATAAATAAATTCAATCTCAGAACGATTCACTTTTGTAAGTTTGTCTAAAACGGGTTTTGGACAAATTTTCCATCTTTTTAAAGAATTGAACTGTCTCCTTTCCAGTCTCTCGATATAATTGTTTTCAAGAGGAACAAACGTGCACTGCTATTTTTACAGCACTCGCACCGGAATAATATAAATTTTATTTCTAAAACATTGAAGAGAGAATTGTTTTCTTCCAAGTCCAAGGAAGACTCGTTACGTCTTGAAGACATCGCAGAGGAATCGTATCGGTACCTTCGTACGATCTCCAATGAGAAACCGGAAAATGGTAGAAAAAGCCTGCGCTCTTCTCGTCGGCGCCACCTTACGCTCGGCGGCTTCTTAATTTAGAGATGCCGCTCCGTGAAAATATTCTATCCCACACCCGTGAAACACTCCCCGCTTCCCTTTTGCCACTCTGTTCTCCCGATGCCCCCCTCGTTATTGCGCCGTCGACTATAGAAACGCCGTAAACACGTCGCGGCCGCCGGAGACGGGATAAAACGTCGGTTTTATGCGAAGGCGTTACCGGACGAGGTAGATTCTCCTCCGTGATAGAGACATGTTTTCAGGTATTACCAGGCCGTGGACAGGTACGGGCTCTTAGAGCGGCGTTACGAGCACCTTGGAACGCAAGCTCGCTCTTAATCGGGAGACATCGGGCTCTCCAAGTCGCCCGAAGCTTCTTTCCGGAGGACGGTGTGTCCTCATTTCGACAAACTTATTTTCGTACTCGCATGATAAAAGTTGTTCGCGCGCGCTAATATAACGAAAATGAAATCGCCGGTTTTAATGTCGACAGTACTGATGGAGAATATGTGGCTGCACATAATGCGTATAATTATATAGAAAAAAGTTAAAATTGAAAGGAAAAATCTTAAAAAGATACATATCTTGCAACGTATTTATGTACGTGTGTGTGTAATATTTTTGAGCAATAAGAAAGAAAGAAAAGAAAACATCGTTTAAACTTTTAAACATTTTTGAAAATTTTTATCCGTGTACTTAAAGAAGAAGGAACGAATTAAAATCATCGAGATATTTTTTATATCTTTTAGAACTTTTGTTATATTAATGC